TTCTTTATACTGTGTTGTGTTCAAAATAGTCCATATAAGTTTTGTACTTGCGAATAGGGAAGTTAAATTGCTATCTCACAGTTTCGCTCTGTTAGATATAAATATTTCTGTAGTGGGCAGGATTTTGTCTCTGTTTTGTTTCTAGCTCCCCCTACTACCACCTTTGCAGCTGTCTTCCTGGTTCATTCCTAATAAGTGAGGGAGGTTTTTTCTCACCCTTGACCTCATGGCTTGGCTTGTTATTTCCTCAGCTAGATAAGTTAGTGCCAAACATTAAAATATTTAGTATGCTGTCCCTTTGTATTCATCATCTCGTCCGGTTAATTCGAATTTGTCCAAACTGCTGAATTAACGATCAAAAACCTTTTTATTTAGAAAAAAAAACAGAGCAGCAGAAAGTCGCAAGTTTCTAAAGTTCTTGAAATTTGACTTAAAGAGGTAGCTGTTGTACATTTCAGTAAACTTTTTTTCTTTTGCTGTTTTCTTCTAGATCCCTCTAAAATACAGGCACAGGCCCTAAAATCTCTACCTGAACCTGATCCAGAAAAAAGTTCATCTAGGTAAAGGACTATGGCCTAATTGCTAAGAAAATAATAGAATATGCTAAGCACCATTTTGACTAAAAAATAGCATCCTTCTAAGATTTTGTCTAGAGCTAAGGTTGGCATAAAATAAGTTTAAGATTAAGAGTAGTGAACTTACCTACAGTCAGGATTCAGATCCCATTTGTTCATGCCTCCATTTGTTTTACCAAGATTTTGTATGTTGTTTGAATGGATGTCATACTTTTTCTAAATATTATCACCACATAAAATTAATTATAATTATAAATAGACTTTCAGTGCTGTTCTTGTAATTTTGTCAACTCACTATCACTGCAGGAAAGTGTAATTTAAATTAGCATTGACCCCACGTCTGCCTAAGTAGAGCAAATATAAGCTTATTCAGATTCTTAACCTTTTTGCATTATATTGGTTTTCATCAAAGTTATTTTACTTGTTTTTAGAACCTACAGTGCAAGAGGTCTTTTCTCTTCTCTCTTAGGTTCAGAAACACAATTTTTCATGGTTTCGATTTGACATCGGTTTATAGCCACTACATCTCAGGCACAGAGAAGCGGGAAGTAACTACACTGCACTGTGGCTCTGGGGCCACTGTGGACTATATCTTTTACTCAGCTGTGCCTGTCAATAACAGGAGCCAGCGAGGTATGAAAATCTTAAAACCCGTTCACTGCTGCATTAAACATCTCCCAATCCCACAGTCCAGCTCTATTCTTGCCCTGGAACTATTAAGGATGTACTAACGGGGACTGCACGCTAACTCTCCAGTCTTACTGCTGTTGTGCCTTGTAGGAGGAAGGCTGAAGCAGGATGGAGTCCTGAAGCTGATGGGTCGTCTCTCTCTGCTGTCAGAGGAGCAGCTCTGGTCCACGAAGGGACTGCCCAATGAGGTCTTCTCCTCTGACCACCTGTCTCTCCTGGCTAAATTCCAGCTGGACCACACCTGGTTTTAATCGCCCCAGTGTAGATGACTTGGAAGCTTGATTTCTTGGAGGTAGAAGTTACATATAAATGGCAAGAACTGTTTACACGTTCAGCTACAATGGTTTCCCATTTACTTTCTAAGTATTACAACTACTGCATCCTTGGATGCTTGGAAAATTATTATTTTATTAGGAGCAGAAAACAATTAGACTTCAGTACAATTAGACTCCAGTACTTGCACCTCCTGTACCAGATATCAGCCATGTCAACCTGTGGCATCCTGAGGCAGTGGTATTGATACAGCAGTGCTCAGTATTTCAAATTTAGGAGCTGAGTCCTACACCAGGAAACTACAGAATTCTGTGGTCTTTTCAGTTTTAAAAACAAAATGTCTTTAAGTTTTCCTTCTTTTCCAGGTCTCTGAAACAAGGAATATAAAGAGAAACTTGCTTATTGGTTTTGGCTTGTTTGTAATGGGGTTGTTTTCAGCTTCGAAAGTTGTATTCATTCAACATTTACCGACACTCTGAGTTAACACTTTGCTTTACCACTATCACAAAGAAGCTGAAAAAATTGACATTTAGGTTTCTAAGTTAAGAGATGTTTGTTTTTGCTTTTTCAGCAAGTTCTTGTTCTCCCATTTCAAATAAATGGATGATAAGTTTAACAATGTAAACATTTTATGAATGCAACCTAGAGTGAGGAATGATGTTGATTCTTGAACAAAGCACAAAAAAATGGGAATATTTTAAGCTTGTTTTAAACAAAGTAAAATTAAGGTTTATTTTTAAGGGAATGTATGCAGGTATTACACTTGTATAAATGTGAGAGGGAAGCTGCACAGGACCAAGTAAAGGTTGATTCCGTGCTGATAAAGCAGACAGAAAAAAATACATTGCACTTCTGAAGAAGGATCAGCAGCTGAAACATGTTTGTTCTTCTTTTACCTTTACCTGTTCCATTTCACTAGTATAGTTACTTATTTTTAAAAGCACAATTCTTGCTGTTTTGGTAGTTGCTTCATATTGCTTACATTTTGTAACATTTAACTAAGCAATGAGAACAGGTGTGTAAGTATAATAAGAAAGATGTTGAGAATCATAATTGATGATTAAGGTCAAGCTGTCACCAATTCAATTGCAAAGATGCTGTATGTTGATACCTTGTGAACTTCATTTAAGCTCGTTTTTATTTATTTTATGAAGAAACCTATAAGACATGTAGGTGTGCTTCTGCAGCAATGCCAAACCCTGCGACACAGAAACAGAGTGCTTCCTTTTGTATCAGTAAGCCATTATGTAATGACTTTTCTTTTCCTATACTTGTCTGTCCAGACTCCGTGGTTGTGAGTGTGCATAGTTAAAATACAGGTAGTTCAACAATCACATGAACCATCATTCGTGTTGCTCCTGGAGGCATGATTTTCCCCCTTTTCTTCCCTCAGTTACTTTAGTGTATTCAAACTACAAATGTATTTTTAAGTGGCTGTCTGAGTTTTTGCCAGAGAACTTTTCTTTTTCCATTCACGCATAGTTTGTCCCCTTAAGTCTGTGCTGTGGATGTTGACATATCATTTCAGCTTACACAGTACTTAACAAGTAAGAAAAGCTGACAGAATAAATGTTGTGGAAAATGATGTCTCAGTGTGTTTGAAATGTGTTTGCAGAGGCAGGAGAAGAACAAAGCAGCCAGAATTGCCACACGAGCTGCTCAGTCTTCTCTAGTCTCTTCTCTGCCCATTTTTAGTTTCTGGGAATGAAAACTAGGGTTTGAGAAATGAGGCGCCAGGCCACTCTGTAATGGTTAGAGATCTATATTCCAGACCAGAAGCCCGTGGGTTCAACTCCCAGGTGGAATTGTACCATCCAGTACTGCACTTTACTCAAATTGCTCCAGTAAGTACAGTGCCCTGTGGGTACTCTGGGTACTGTCCAGGCTGTCCTTGGAAATAAAAATTAGATCGGCCACTTAAGAGCAAGTTGCATAAAGGATTTAAAAATAAGCTACTACAGGGTGTGTCAGCAAAGGTAGTCTGAGCTTTCACCATCTTCCATGCAAGGATAAATCATGAAACGATTAAATGGAAGATGTTAATTAGAAGTTCTAATTAGTGTTAATTAGAAGATGTTTTTTTTATCTATTTCTGTCCACTGTGAAATCTCTTGAGTTCAGATTTAGTCTGGCTCTACTGATGTGCACACTGTAAGGGTGGAGAAGCAGTTGTGTAATTCTGTAAATAATTCATCTTGTACTGCATCAGATCACAGAGTGCAGCCAAGCATGTACTTCAGTTCTTGCATGGGCTCCATATACAGTATTTAAAATGGAGGGAATAAAGACCTGAGATGAGGACTTGCTACAGTACATGTGCATAAGAATAAAATAAATATAAACCTCGCCCATCTCGATTTAAAAATCATACCTGCCTGAGGTATACCGGGAGAAATGTCTCCGTGGAACAGGAAGAAATTAAGGTGACAGAAGGACATGGGATTAGAAATTTGAATGATTTCATGCCTGTTCTGGTTTGTAAAAATGTGTTGAGTTTGAAGAAGAATCAGAGAAGAGTTTGTACATAGACCTCATCAGACCCTGGCTCCTTGGGGTGGAGGAATGAAGACTAGTGGTTACAACTAATGCAATCTAGATTTTTCTTTCACAGTCTTAAAAGGTATTCTTAAGGAATACCTTAAATTATACAATATGTCTATGAATAGATCACAATTCAGATTTTCCCCTGAGGTACAGGTTTTAAAGTGGGAGAAAACTTTGAGTTATTTCCACTCCAACTGACAGTTGCTGCACATGCAATATCCTCCAGGTGGTAAAAACAGTAGTTTACTCATCTGATCTCATTACTCATCGGATCTGCACATCACCTGTGTGGCCCCTTGACCTACAAACAAATCTAATGCTGCCTCACAGCGAGTGTAACAATCTTCATGGTGCAATTGTAGATAGAATGTATAGTTTGAGATGAACTGTTTTGTTCACTTTTAAAGGGGCAGCAGTCTTATGCTGTCATTGTATAAATGGATTTGGTTTTTAAGGGAGAGATTTAGCATAAGACTGATTCCCATAAGAAGAGCAGTGTTAGGTGCTGTAAATCTTCTGCGTGTTTAACTGAACATCATTGCTCCCCACTGCTAGATCTGTGTGACTCTGAAGGGCACTTGGCAGAAGGCTGGACTCTTGAAGTTACCAAATCGCCTTGTTAGCGAGCGAGTTGATTGGACAGGGTTGATGAGATGGCTTAACCTGTTGGACGCCAAGCCTGGGGACAATCAAAGCAGAGCACAGAGTGGGGCTGGCTTAAGTTCATGCGCTTTCACTCAGCTTCTGGGGTGCAGTTTGTAACCTAGCAAAATCTAACTACCAAGCACACAGTCGGAATAACAGACCACTATCTGGGAAAGAGCAAGTCTCCACACCTCACCAGGATGGGAGGGTCTAAATTTGAGGGTCTGGGCAAGTATGTCTAACTGGCACAAAATTCCACCTGCAGTGATTGATGTCACCCTGACTGAAAAGCATGACTTTGATTAAGTCCTGGTAGCCCCATCTATTGCCTTTCCTGCATGTTCATCCTGATGTGCTGATATTCCAGCAGGGTACTGCATGTTCTCATGCTGCTTGTGTAACTGTGGCTTTTTTTTCAAGATGAGAGTGTGACCATTAAGCTGCAGATGTCCTATTTTCCAGGCTTGAGCCCCACTGGACATATGGGGGGGGAGGGGTGGCATCTAGCCAGAGAGCCATTGCGTGCTTGTTTAGGCTCTGCATGAGGAACGGAACAAAACCCCACAAGACAGCTACCTGGTGCCAAGCATGAGTCACAGATAGGCAGCTTGTAGAATTCCAGCAGTAGCTACACGCTTCATGCCTGCAGACTGTTACAGTAGATCCCCTGTTGGTGAGAAATGCTAATTAGCATGAGTTTACCCATGTCATATCTGTTTATGGGTGGTGCAGTGGTTAGCATTACTGCCTCGCAGAGCAGGGACCTTGGGTGCTATCTGTGTGAAGTCTGTATGTGTTTGTGCGTCCTCATGTTCACAGGGGTTTCCTCTGTGTGTTCCGGTTTGCTCCTGCTGTCGAAAAAATTACTGATGGGTTAATTGGCTTCTTGGAAAATTGGCATGGCGCTTGTGTCTGTGTGCCTTCCCTGTGATGGATTGGTGTCCCATCCAGGGTGTATCCTGCCTTGTCCCCTTTGCATTCATGTGTTGCAGTTCAAAGAGGTTTATTTTGCTGCTTGGTACATAGACAAGATTAAACATATTTTTCATGACTCAATAATGTTTCAAAATTATTCTCAAGTTGTATTAAAGTTTAAAATAAACAAAGATTAGTAGAAAAGTAATCCAAAAAACCACTTCTTCATTTCTTTTTTCCTATGTTATAAAGCAGTATGAACAAGTTAGTATCAGATGTCTTCCTAGAAGCAAAATCGTGCATTTTTTAAACTCTGCTCAACAACGCTTCCAAACAAAAAGTATAAGGAACTACACAAAAGTATTACACTATCTCTGGAGGCCTCTTTCGAAAAAGAAACAGAGAGGAACTTATTTAATTAGCGGAATTACAGAAAATGACACCGGTAATGGCCACAGTGAATGAAATTAAAAAAGAGAATCTGAATTCTGTCAAAATACAGCTCCCGCTATATTCAGTAGCTAATGCAGGATTGAGAGCATAATGAGATGTCATTTGCGTGTCTTCCTTCTGTGTTGTTTTTATAACAACTCACTCATGGTCAGCTTTATCTCTCTGGGGCAAGGGCATGCTGTGGGGAAAAAGCACTTCCAAGATCCAGATTTAGTCTTTCTTGGCAGTGTGTACAGTAGGTTGACAAAAATGATTCATTAGCCTCTTTATTGCTTTTTGATGAAAATCACATTTATTGATTAATCTTTGCCATCTTTATCCTCTCAGAAATTCTGCACATCTCACGCTTTTATGAAAGTGCTTAGAAACTGCTGAGATCATAATTTTGTCTTGGAGATCAAACAAATAATGAGAACCAGTCTGAGTATATACAGTACGGTCTTGACCATCTGTCTTAAAAAAAAGTGTGAAATCAAGATACTGGTAGATGTAAAATGAATGGAGATGAAAAAAGTGGTAAATATGTTGGGTATCTAGCTTTAATGAGTGAAACAAAAAACACTTTTTCAGTAAAATTTTAAAAGCCTCGAGTGAATAGAAGCATTTTCGTTTAGTTCTACAATAAGGGAGCTGTATAGACTGAATCTGTACTCTAGAAAGGACATTTATAGAGCCTTAATAAATATGGATTAATTCTATAGGCAGCAAACATTTTCAAGTAAACACGTGACTCTTGTTCACCAATAACATTTTACTAAATAACTACAAAGTCATTACTGTGCCTTGAAAATATTTTGTTCTTTCACGTAGTTACATAGAACAGGCTTTCCATTAATTCTCACCTGCCTGAAATAAATCTACAGTGAACGACAAGGTACAGGTAAAATATCAGTTGAGGGCTATCAGTGCTCTTCAGTGTGATGTGGAAGTAAATATTTAATATACAACTTGTAAACAAACCTCTCTTTGCACCTTTGCCTTTATTAAGACTTCACAATCCTGCACTAATACTGCGAGGGTAATTACTCTTCAAAGCTGACCCTAAACCTACAAAAACACTCACACTTATCATTATACTTCTGTTTTAACCAACATACAAGATAAAAACAATGCTCTCCAGATCTAAATATTTATTGAAAAAACTTGTCAGTTTAAGTCCTTTAATCTGACCACTATTAGCTAACTACTACCCTGGCTGAAATATGTACTGTATGTGAGCAAAACCAGAATCTGACCACCCAGGAGAAACATCTGACGTTACAGTTGCACTTTCTCCTTTAATGGGGTTTTAGATTTGAACTCCTCTCAAACTTTTGGCTAGCAGAAGAAACATGCTGGTACACTCAAAACGTTCTCGCAGCATTTGTAATCAAGACAGCACGATTTATTGTGATGTCATTTTTTAAACAATCCCTGCCAAGCACAAAACGTTTGTAAGGTTTTTACAAATAAAGTTTAAATGTTTTCCAGCATTCCTAATACGTACGGTTTCTCATAGTTAACATTTTTTAAAGATGCAGTTCTACTCTTTAGTGTGGATTTCATGTGATATGTGACACATTGTTTAAGTTGGTGATTCTTATTTCTATTTTAAGACTATCCCTGCAATGTTATTCCCTAAAATGTGGAATTCCTCATTCTTTTCTATTTTATACCCACCCAGTGTGGAATCGCCACTCATTTAACTCGGCTTTACGGTTCTAACTATTGATCAGAGACACAGCAGATAGACAGACATGCTCCTCTGACACACCCTACTATCAGTGTCATTTGTCTTTTGATACACTGCAAGCTCAGCAGTGCCCTACAGGAGAGGGAATGGAAGAGTGTTGATTTACTGCAAGAACGCTGCCTGGCTAAAGCTGACGCAATCAAAGAGACACGAGGACAACTGGTGCATTACTGCCACTTGTTGGAGCCTGACCACAATGGGTTGATATTAATGCACAGGCTCAAACATCAAATCTGGACCACAGATTACATCTGTGCCTAATTAGTCTTAACCTGTGCTCTAAGCAAAAGTCTTCACTTAGTTGAGCCAATCAAGAATCTCATTGCAACTCATTCTAACTGTTGCTTCAAGTCTGTTGATTTTGATGAATCGGCTTAACGCTATTGTTGCATTGCAGTTGGAACAATCTGTTTATTTTGTAGTTATCTGTATTTGAAATGCTAGTGATTTTAACTATTGTTTGCTCATAAAGCCTTCTTAAACACAATGAGTGGAAATTAAATGTGTAGGTGGTCTTAGAGTTTTTCATATGAAGGTGAATGGTGTAAGATTTCACACAAAAGGCACTGGATGCTTTGTCTTCAAGGTATCTTCTACAAAAGCGCAACTACATAGCTGTCCAGCAGAGCTAAAGATTAATGCTATTTATATACACTAGTAAAGACCAAGGCGAAGAGGCCTACAGTACTTTCACTGGCTGCTTCATCAGTTTCAACTTTTGACGGGACTCTCCTGTTACTCCCCATCTATGCCTTCACTCCAAGTCAAGCCAAACTGAAAGGACAAAGTCTTCAATTCACATCTCGGCCTGCCTGCAGCAAGCTCAACGTCAATATAAGTGATTCACAATATGTTTCTGCAAACCAACAAAGCTCTGTCCCTGCCCCTGTCACTCTGACCACTCTTCCTTCAAGCTCTACCAGCCATTTCAACCTCTACCATCACTAAAAAGTGTTAGTGGTTCTCTGCCCACAGGCTAAGACTTCAGCAAACATCTGGCAGATTTGGTTTGTTGTGGTCACAGTGCTTGACCCAGAAGTTGTGGTAGGTGAGGTACAGTACTCTGGAGGTCCAGCGGCGTCCTGCGGCTCATGAGAAGCTGGGATGTTTTAAACTCGGATCTGGTAGCCATTGATGTCTGAGGAAGGCTTCTGTTCAGGTGGCTTCTTTTCCCCGGATGGCCTGTAAAAAAGGCGGCAAATGTTTTGTAAGCTATAGCTCCACATCCCACCATTACAAATCCATGCATCTGTTTTCATTCCTCAACTGCTGCTGTGCAACTAACCCTTCCCCGCAGCTTAAGAATTTCATTTTTCTTTTTTCTCTCCAGAGACAGAGACAGAATAAAAGACACTTTATCACTTCAGTAGGTATTCAGAACCAGACAGCACACAGATATATAAAACCTGCATCTCTTAGCACAAGGAAAACAATGTATTTCAGTAGTTCAGTGAGATCCAGAGGGTTACGAAATATGCATGAAGTAATTGGTGTGACTCGCCTAGCTGCGAAATGGCAGCCCCATCTCTCAATGCCCAGCCCGCCCTCACTATTGAGAGAACTGAGCCAGGGAGCTGCTGCACGGCTGTAGATGGGGAAGCGGAATGGGGGTGATAACACAAAAGAGAGGTAAGCAAAGGGAAGTCCTGGGTGTGAGACTTATATATGGTATGTAGGCAAGTGGAAGTGTTAAGGATCTAACCATCTTCTCGATCTTCTGTTATAAACTCCATGCGGTAGGCAACAGCCCTAAGGCTGTGTAATGTCTCATTTGGCATTAAGAGACACATATGGAAGAAATGATCAATGCACAAAAATGTTTTCTTTTCAAATTGATAAGCAGGAGGATTCAAGTCATGTCCGTAAGCTAAGGCACTGCTAAAACCTTTCCTGTGCTTGCCAGCTGCCCATGAGTGCAGGCTCCACCCAAATTTCTCACTGTAAAATAATGAACCCTTTGAATCTGAGGGGCTTGAGTTATCCTGCAACATTAAACGCATAGCGACGCAGGCAGTACCGTCTCTCCCCTCGGCTGTTTCTCCGTAAAGGGCTAGACGGGCCTCGCTGAGGGGAGCCCATGTCTCTTTTCCTGTCTTTGGTAGGGGAAGATGGGGCTGGTTTTCCAATCTGTAAGAAAAAAGGTACAGAAAAATGTGGGACTGTTTGGCGACGGTCATCTCCGAACAGACTGCATTACAGTCCATCATGCTGTTTTCTTGCTGTTTGTCTCTGGAAAGAGTTGTAAATACTGACATTATACCCACATGTTTTTGTGACTTTAATAAATTAACATGTTTTTTTTTTTTTTTTGCGTGTACTATCCTGAATTCCTGAAAACATCTTGAAATACTGCAAGGAATTTTTGCACAGAATGGTAAAAAAATGTTAAGGTAAGAAAAACAACATTCTTGAACATGGAAGATTAAATCGACTTCAGCCTAAAGCATTTCTGCAGTTTCTCCTTCATGTAACCTCTGTCTCTGTGTGTGCGCTGGTGAAAGCCATGAAGTTCACCATCACATATCACTCGTCCTTAAACTGGCACTGCAGCAAATAGTACAGTATTCACGAGGGATCTTCTGAACTCAGTTACTGAGTTACTGGGTACTTCTTAGTGTCAATACACTGCTCTCCAAACAGCAGCAGAAATTTTGTCAGAAAGGACTGTTAAGAACTGGAGGACATAGACATTTGCTTCACTGTCATTGTCCCAAGTGCTTTTGTTTGTTTTTTTTTGCAAAGTAATCCCTTCCCTCCTGTACGGCCATTAGCAGCCTGGCAATCTGGCCCCAGGACAGTCACGTCACCTCACTCCTCACCTTGAGCCTCATATCCCGGGTGTGTCTCTCCAGCTCCCTGCGGAAGTCCTCCGGAGACAGCTTGTCCAAGTCCAAGATGGAGTGCTTCCACTCGATCTGCTCCACGCTGTGGGGGTCGTGTGACACGTACTGGCCAATCTTCACCTTCTTCAGGCTGTGCCAGTATCCCCGGTAGGCACTCTCGAACTCCTGCACCAGGTCGCTCAGGGTACGGTACTCCAGCTGCTTGTACATCAGGTCTTCCCGGCGGCTGATACCCAGGGCTCCGAAGCGCCCCCCGCAGTGCACCCCCAGCACGATGTGCCGGAAGTAATTCCCTGAGAACTGAGTTTTAAAGCTGAGAGGGAAACGCTCAACACCGGGCATGCTGTTGGTAAGGTAACTGAGAAAACTCGAGTCAAGGAACACACAATATAGCTGCACACTTCATTCTCCCCAGGGGCAACCCATTTCCCAGACATCACTATTGCTTTGGACATGAAAACAAAGGAAAAAGAAAAGATTACTGCAGTCACTGATGTTGAATTGTTTTTTTTTTCTTTTTTCGTATCTAAAATATTGAAGGTTCAATAAGCTTTTCAAGTAAAGACTGACACGACAGTAATACAGTCACGATCCTCCCTGGTCTAACCTTTATGAGGGGAAACCTGTGAACCAGACATTTAGACAGGATACTGTCTTCATTTTTGTCAAAGTTACAGTACCTTCTCAGTTGCACATCAGAGAGAACATCATCAGCATTTCTCTTCAAATTTTCCCCCAGAAAATTCCCCCAGAAGGGTATTTTTGTTCATTAGAGGAAATAACAATTCCACATGAAGTTTTTTTTAAAACAGTGTCTGCATTTTCTAGTCTCCTCTGTCAGATTCACAAAGTATTCCATTACGTGGTTTGAAATTCAAAACTCTGATTCTGCTTTTTTTACCACAGATTCCTATCAATGACCCCGAGACCTACTGTATCTATACAGCTGGGCATTTTAGCAGTCTAAGGGAAGTACCTTGCTCAAGGCCCACCCAGGCTTTGAACACACAACCCTCAGAATTAACCCAAAGCATTATTAAAGGAATATAAAAGTTACTCAGATCCATTTCTGATTATGACAGTGTTAATGACTGATTAAAGCATTCCAGTAGACTGAATATTCGGAACCCACATATACAGTACCATTAACGTTTTAGATAAGGCTAAACTCTCACTATCTTTTTTAAATATGAGTTAAACATTGTTGTAGCATACAGTACCACTACTATAAATGAAATACAAAAATGACCTGATTCTCTTTATAAAAAAGCAGAAATGCAGACCTGATGTAATATGCTGTATGACGAACCCAAGACTTGCTTACACAGTGAAAAGCAAAGCACAGTCAGTTCCCCATGACAGTGGTTGGCCATCGGGCTAAAATACCTGCCAAGGTTTCAGAGCGTAGAAAAGGATACATTCCCAGGATCACAGCCTCCAAACACTTGATTGGCAGTGACTCCCGGATCATCTCCTTAGCGATGTCCATCAGCCTGTGTTGGAGAAGCAGTGTTATCAGAGTAGAAACTCTGGAAAAAAAACACTTCAGTGTTGTTTCCTGATACCATCCTACCATCCTGAAACCATCACGTGTGCTGTTGTGCTAAATAGAGTTCTTAATGGAGGTTCGGGATCAGGTCAGACCCTAACCTCACCCATATCCATGGCCCAACATCAGTCCAGCATGGCTGCTTGTGCAAATCTGTCTCTCCTCTCCATCACTGTCCTATTAGTATCTCCCTGACTTATCCCTCTTGAAAACGGGGGTTCCATCCGCCTTATGCTCCCACGGCCTGGTCAGTTACCCCAATATATCTATCTAATTCAATGACAACTTATTACATAATAATTTGAGTTTAACTACTGATATTTTTAATAAATTGAATTTAAAAAAACAAAGTTATGAAAAGACTTTCTTTGTTCCTAGCCTAGGTGGTTTCAAGAATCAGTGCAATTCCAGTCTAAAAAGGATTCACAATAAAGAGAAATAGGAAAAAAAAATATCTGGCACAGCAGAACCTAAGGAAGTGTGGTGGACCAGAAAGAGGAAGTCACAGATGCTGTCATTCAGTTGTACAATAGAAATGAAAAAAAAAACATCTATAACATCTCAGCAAGAAACTGAATAGCTGCACCCTTCCTGTCATGGGCTAAATTAATTAGATGATGTGTTATAAAGTTCATCAGTGAATACAGTAAACCCCCAGTTTAACAGACTAATGGGTGGAACTTGTGTCTGTTATTGCTGAATGTCAATTAAATCACAGATTACATTTTATGCCCCCAAAACACACTATTACATGAAAAATATACATGTACAGTATGCAATCAACACAGTTAATGAAAATTGTTCCTGTGCCTTTTGTCGTGAATATGCAAACTCTTTATTTTATGTCATAAATATACTGTACAAAAATTTACTAAAGACTACGAAACACAAACCCTTCATAAGCAACCAGCCTATCACTATAAGGCACTACTGCTATTCCTGAATTTCAAACCTGTGTAAAATCTAACTTTGTTTTATTATCTGTACATTTCATTGTTATTGCATGGAAAGACCTGTTTTTCTTATTTTACAGTCTCATCTTATTTTATATCTTGTCTGTTAAATCTGAAGTAAAATAAAGTGAAGTCTGTTAAACCTCAGGTTTACTGTACACTCAGTCCCTTTTCAAACTTTTCTCTACAGCCCCAAACAGACTGTATGCAGTGTGCTACAGCTATAGAACGTGCTCATCAGCTTGACCCAGATGGCACTATGCTTGTACATGTGCATTTTTCAATAAGATTCTAAAACAATCAGCTTCATGTAACCCCACCTTAAGCAATATAATTTCAGTTCTGGCACAAACCTTACATAACTGGTGAGTTTACTTACGCAGTAAGAGGCCTGCTCTTCTTAATTTCAAAGAACTGTGTTCCAGTATGATTGTACCTGAGAGGGTGCTGTTAAGAAAGATTAGGACGAGAACAGACTGACAAAAATATCAACTACAGAGCCAGTAGCAGGGGGGGAGGATTCGGAAACAGAATAAAAATAAAAATAGATCTAATAAAGCAACAGCTGTGGCAGACCCCCACTTCTAAATATTTTACATCATTCATGGTCTTATGGGTGAATTATTCATAAGCTTCAGATATGACAATTACTTCACGCTTCCCTTCCCTGAGTTACGAGATTAATTTTGCCAAAGCACTTAAAACTTCAACAACAATCTGACTAGAGCAAAAGAAGAAAGTGTTTATTTTTTGGAAATAACTCTCAAAAGGCATATTTAGAGCTCCTGTACCTTAATTTCAAACAACCTTTTAAGTTTTGAAAGATACCACAGAAATTACAAGGCTGGTCTTTGGATTGTTACAATGGCCAATTTGGTGGGAACTTACATTTGGTTAACATACAGTACCTAGGCTTCTGCATAATGCATTAAACATACAAAGTGAAGTATATCAATCTGGGGATTTTATCCACCCAGTGAAACAAACCAAGACTACAGATTAAACTGTGTCAACTCCTTATCCTGCACCGACTGCACTTACAGAAAATCATATGAGTGCAGCTTTAATGAGTTTACCATGACTGGTGTTAGAGAAAAAAACAAGTGACAGTCATTAATGGTAACAAAAAAAAATATTCGGAGGTTATACAGTATGTGTGCTTAGATACAAGACCATTGTTGTAATATAATGCAATATTTCTTACAGCACTCTGGCCTGTATATTAGAATAGCGAATAATTCTGAACAACCAAACCCTCTAATGAACTGACTGACATCATCGTAGCATAGTAGATAATGAAGTCAGAGCACAGTAACGAAGATTTTACAACTCATTTTTCTCTCTTGACTGCAACCAGACCTCTCTTCAGTTCCTTGCAGCTGAGCTGAATGGATAACAGCCTTTCCTGCTTTAAGGATACTGCAAGTCCCTGATGTATCTCTGTATGGCTTCCAGGCGATGTGGGATGGTGGTTAATGGCTGGTATGCAGGCACACTTGGTGTTGGAATCTGCAAGTAAAAAATTAAAACACCGGCAGGCATACTTGACACAATCACCATATTCACGGCAGTGTGAGAATCCCCTCTTGTTCATTTGTAAAGCATTTTTTTTAAAAAGAAATGCGTGACTATAGTCTTGGGTTAGAAATCTGTGTTCGGTAGAAGCTTCACATGACTTCAATTAAGCAGAAACAGAAGACATGTATTTGGCTTCTGACATTCTTCACCATTTACAGGTCTATAAATGAGTTACAGCAGAGTGGGATGTGAATGCTACCACACAAAAATCTTGATCTTGGAGTCCACCGACAATGTGCTTTGTGTCAGGCAGCAGGGAATGATTCATTTCAGGGTGACACAGTAGAATCCCTTCAATGCAAGAGAGGATCTCACATAAAATAGCATTTCTTAAACTGTTATCCATGCTAAAAACTAGAGTAGTAGGAAACATAGAGAAAGTGACACATAAAACGTGTAATATCAATAATAAGATAGATAGATAAGACTTTATTGATCCCGAAGGGAAATTGATGGGGAAATAACAAACCTTTGGTTGTGTTCTTAATCTGAAGCTAGGCAACCTGACACAGGAATAAGAAAAAATGAAAAGTTTGACCCAACCACCAATTACGAACTATAGCTTTTGTGTCCTGGGTTTGGTTGCAGACGGAAACATCCAAGGTGGAGTTTGAATCTTCCCTCTATGTTCAATCTGGTTTCCTCCATCCTTTCAAAGACACGCTGGACAGTTTCATCGGGGTTTCGAAATTATACCTCAACTGTCTGTGTGCGTCCTGCGGTAGAATAGCTTCTTTCTGCCCTGCCTTCAGATTGCCAAAACCCTTACCAGCAGTAAGCTACTTTCTCATAAGGGATGACTTTGACTAAACCTGCTTCTCTCTCTGCCCATGTGTAAGCCAGACAGTAGGCACTTGTACTAGGTTTGTAAAAACATCTACATTTTGTGCGAACCCCGAGCAGAAATGAAAGGATTGATTTTACAGCCGGAGGAAGAGTCGCTCTTACCTTGGGCAGGTCAGTGGCTCCCCTGATCCTCCTGACCAAGGCCTCGCCCTCGGGATGGATCCGGGCCACGTGCCGCCACATCCTCTCCCATGTGGCCTCGTTCACGGGCAAACCGCCCCGATTGACGAAGAACTGCACCCCTCCGTCAACCGTGTCCTCCTCCCCCTCGTCGTCCTGCTCCTCATCGCGCTGCGCCACGCCCTCGCACCCCACGGAGCCACGCAGCAACCCCGCTGGGATCCCCGTCCTGTCCCCGGGCATTTCTGCTGCCCCAACCCCCGACCCCGTTACCCTATTCGACCGTCGCCGGCTCAAATTGTCACATCAAGTACGAGTGGACAGAGATTGTGTGCCGTTCATGACAAGATGGACACGGAGCTGGTGATTGTTCTTGGTGCTTGCAAAAACACAGTTTGCCAAAACTAACACGAACTGTGAAACGAGGGAATGCACCCTCGATTGAACAAAAATGGCTTAAACGCAGTCTTAAACGCAATGTATTACTGCAGTCTATAATGTTATCCAGAAACCATATTTGTCAATACATGGTCGAAACATTGATAGATTTGTTAAGACTTCGCGTGTGTTCAAATTGTATTACACAAAACTTTTTTCTAGTTGTACGTGCCTGTGGTTAATTCATTACATTGCACTGCAGTCCAAGACATTCGTCTTGTGTGTGTATACTGCACAATGACGGCATTAAAAGCGCACTTGAACAAAGGTAGAAAAAATTTAAAACTTTAAAAAATTGTATGTAAAATGTGTTGAGTGACAAAACATTCTAAAACTTTTCAAAAACGAAAGACATTCATAGACCTTTCTCCCATCATATAATGATAAAATACACAAATACTGTAGGTTAAAACAACTTCAGCACTTCTAACGATCGATAATCCGATAAAGGTATCGATTAAGAATAATACACTCGCGGCTCAGACTGTGTATACAGTATGTGTACAATTGTAAGTGATGCAGAATAAAATTCGCGTTTCTGCTACGATTCCACTAAAAATCACATATTCAGAATCTGTACATACTGTAAAACAGAACAATGTGCTGTAACAGCTATTCAGTGTTTTAAAGGTATATTCAAGCGCAACGGTTCTGTGGTTTTTGGTTAGCACCGTATAGAAAAGCTCTAAAAAGACCAATACTAACATAGGAGTACCATCGCGTAACTGTGCACGTAAAATCGACTTTATAATATTGCCTAAAGGCAAGCTAGTTTAGAACAGTTACATTTAAACCAGAGGTCACCCAACCCACGTCCACAGCGCCATGCAAAACTACACAGACGGCCTCGCACAATTCCTTGACCCTCGGTTTCATCGCCGTTGACATTCCACAGTGGTCCATTCCTCCCTCACAGCATGTTTCCTTCTTGTACGTAACCGTCTAGTTTATTTCTCAGTCCTAAAATCCATTGTATACGGTGAAAGCAAACTGATCATGCCTGTTACATTGTGTGCGGCTCGGGACACTCCCAGAACACTCGCCAGTGCGCATGCTCGCTGTAGAGCGATTACTGTATCCTCAGCGCAATGTGCTTTCTTATGCTTTCGCTATAAATAGAAGAACATACACACTTCCTAAGCAAATATCCTGGGAAAAACAGCGAGCGAAATGCCGCACAAATTCGATAGAAAGGATTTCCTACTGATGTACGAACCGGGAACTTTCAGTTCACTTTCACGTGTAATGTTAATGTCTATTGACAGGAATGACACTGCGTCGCAAGTTTGAAAATGAGCTTTTGTTTTGGTGGGTTTTAGGGACAGGCGGTGGTTTCTGTTGTCGTGCATTCAGTTATTTTTCTCCGACATTACTCATTCAAACAGATACGTGTTATTCCTCCTAAAGAAAAAAATAGAAGTAAACATGAACCGAGGAAGCAGAAGTTAAACAGGTAATTTTTGATCGCGTCAAAAACAACGCATATACAGTATATAGCTTCCTATAAATATACAAAAAATCATGACGGCAACAGAATGGCAGCTTTTAAAAACATCATCCCTGCAGTGGTTTGGATCATGTTGTTTACTAGGACAGAACCACAAATATCACTGCAGGCTACAGGTTACAGTATTGTAACCAGCTGGTGCTGGAAACTATTTTTAGACTATTTTTCTCACTGTAAGACTTCAGTTTTCTACATTCACCACCAAATAAGACCATTTCTAAAGTAATAGCACCCAACCTCATGTCCATAAGACCTACATCGTGAAATACAGTACATTTTCCCTGTGGCCACATTTTGGGCAAACAGCACTCTCCTCTGTAAATGGATAAGCTTGTAAATTGCCCCACCAGCCCTGTAGCATGTTCAAGACATGCACTTAATATATTCATGAAACAGTACACTAAATCTGAGCAGGCTTTGATAGTGGTTACTGTACTGTATAGCCAGTCAGGCTTGTTAGATCGTTTTACATTGAAATGTTTCAGAACATTTTAGGTTTTGAAGACTGCCTTCTGTTTGGTTTGTTCTGTCACCCAGAGTAGTTATACTCAGTGTGTCATCAGTAATCCACAGGTCTGTGTCTCCTCACAGCACAGCCCGTGTCCACATTCAGCACTCTAGCTGAGATGCAGGGTGCTTCGTGAACAAAATCACTGCTTTAAACCTTCCAGCAGCTGCACTGTTAAATGAGAAAGAATTCATTCGCTTTCAGTAGCTGTCTGTCTTTTTCCAGAACAAGAGGATCTTTTCATTTCACTGAAGGAGTTGGTCAACATGACCTCTTTTTAACAAAGGTTGGTTTTTTTAAGTAGCCGTCTTCAGCATGTTTGAGCTTGCAGCTTGGCGCTGGGTGCTGTTCTGTATACAGACCCTGGGACAGAATGGGCACACAGTGGACAGCATGTTAGTGGAGGGAGCAAGAGTGGGCTGATGAGCTTCAGCCAACAGGGGTCTGACCCGTGTGCACAAAGTTCTGTCTCCCCAGTGTCGTCACCCCCACTCAGCGGGATAGTGAGGGCTTGTGCCCCACTTTTACAGAAGCTGGGGGAAAGAGTTGTGGCAGAGTCGGTGTGCCCTTCTCAGAAAACCTCATATCTCACATTGGCACTTCGACCGTTAGTGGTGGCAGTGTTCGTGTGTCATAGAACACGTGAATGGAAATCTAGTTTTGCTACAGTGATAATGTTACTTTGAACAGAAGTAAATTGCTAATGCTTAAATTTCAACTGATGGATGGGAATCCTCACACCAAACTGAACCCCTACCTTAAATGTTCGCTCTTACACTGACACTCTGTTCAACATTCCCTCACTGGAGAACACCAGGTCTTTGCATATTCTATGCCGGTTGGCCCCTCCTACTCTAACTCTTCCAAACAGTATACAAAATAATACAATGCTATTTGAGTGCACACTTGTCATGAAAACAACTCAGAAAAAAAAACAGTGACTAAATACAGTCACATATTTACGACATGCAAAAAATAAAGTCCTGTTCGTATAATAATACAAGGAAAATACTCCCTCCACACACTCCTTTCAACATTCCTTAGAAGACATCTGGCCAGATGTTGCAGTATGTAGGATTGAGGTGACTGCTACTAGAAGCTTTATGGGTGCCTGTATTTCATGTGGAGGATCTTCGCTTTTACCTTTGTGGGCTCTAAATGTGTCTCCAAATATCTCACATCCACGAGGGGGTGTGGGTATAAAGATTGTGATTAAAGCTGAACCTCTGTGTCTTTGCAGAGAGTGTGATGATTAAAAATACAGCAGAAGAGTGCTCCGGAGCTTGCACTGGCACCTCAGACTTGGTGCTGGATCTCTGCTTCAGTGTCTGCAGATTGTGGTGGGTACCAAGGTACAATAGGTGTTCAACTACCCCCAAGGTCATCCCTGGTAGTCGAGACAGATTTGGCCTGTGGCCGGTGTTGCCCTTCACAATTCCGGACGATGAAAGACACAGAGTGTTCATTAGCCTTCTGCAAAAAGACTAAGGAATATTAGATGGTCTTTCTCCATGCTCAGGGACAAGTAGTCAAGGATGGTTGCTTTAGATGTTTTATTTTTTGACAACTGTTACAGTTGGTTAAAAAATCTTTTTGTGTAATGACTTTGTCCCCCAGGAACAGAAGGTCAAGATGAGTCAGCAGTCTGCAAAAAGCATTCCAATTCCTACATGTCATGTCACAACATGACAACAGTGTTTGCACACAGCTGGTCAATAAAATAAACCAAAAAGCGAGCAGCCTGCATCTTTAACAATGGTCAAATTTGCATCAGATTATACCCTGCCGAGGCACTCATTGAGAATTTTGAACAGCCTTGATTTAACAAACAGTAATATAGTGCCACCTTGAGGAAATAGACCTAAAATAACCTCATGGTGATTTTAGCTTTCACTGCACTCTTTGGCCTTCAAAAGACCTCTGAGACATTAGCGCAAAGGCAGCTTGGAAATTATTTTTTTTCATGGGACAAGTCTCCCAGGCTGTTAGTGCTCAGACATGTCACTCCTGTGCAACAACAGGCTCACCCAGGTCTGGGGAACAAACCAGATACCAGTGTTTAGAGGGATAGGAGGAAACTAGTACTACAGTACATTCATTTGTACAAAGGAGTCTGTAGCTCATGGAAATTCGTGCAGTACTCATTGACATCTATTCATCTTAGTACAACAAAATCTTAATAACCTGGATAAGTGAAAGTAAAAAGTGTAGCAGAAGTAGATGAAAGAATTTCAAGATTCATCTTTAATGTGAACGCCTGACGTATGTCAAGACAGCTCTGGGGCTTTTTGCAGTCTTTATATCTTTCGAGTGAAATCTGGTGTTCAGGTAGAATTGTGATAACCATGCTCTGGCTTCAGGTAAAGTCTCTTAGGGTGATATGCACAGTTATTCAGGGTGTTCACATCCTCCAGAATACATACAGCAACTAACACTGACCAAAGCTGTGAATCGTGATAAATGGTATCCTAAACTTGCATAGTAACATCAAAGTGAGAATATAAATGTGTGTTTTTTTTTCAAAGCCTCCCTAAGTAGGAGTAATAGCCAGTGGGCCTTACTGGTCCCACTGCAGAGCACGAAATTCTTCAGACTGAATGTCTTGAAAAGCAGCACCTCAGACAGGCTGTTCAGCACCCCGCTGGCAGCTTCTGTGCTATTACTGAGCAATCACCATCTCTGATTTCAGTCACGGGCATTGTTAATGAACTGAGCAGGGCTTGCAGCAAATTCCCACTGTATTCCTGGGTGTGATGTGATGAATGAACTTAAAAGCACATTGTCATTTGGGTTCCTTACCTGTCAAATCAAATACAAGTTCCACTGGGAGGGGTTAAGTTTTCATTTAAGCTTAACCAATGGCACATGTATTTTATGTGACAGGTGAGGAATCTAAAAAAAAAAAATGTGTGCTCTGTGGCTAAGGATATGCGCCTGTGACTGGAAAGCTGCCGGTTCAAATCCCGTAGCCGGCAGAGGAATCCTACTCCGTTGGGCCCCTGAGCAAGGCCCTTAACCCTAACTGCTCCAGGGGCGCCGTACAATGGCAGACCCTGTGCTCTGACCCCAAGCTTCTCCCTGTCTGTGTGTCTGTGTCTCCATGGAGAAAAGCTGGGGTATGCGAAAAGACGAATTCCTAATGCAAGAAATTGTATAGGGCTAATAAAGAAACATTATTATTATTAACAACATGCAATTACTCAGTTTAACCATGAGAGGGAGGCAGCTGTCAAAAAAACAGGTTACCATTGAGGTTTTTTTTATCATCAATCCTGTTCTTTTTTGTAAATGAAGGTTTTGTAATTATTGTTTTATAATTGACAAATGTGTTGTTGGTGTCAATCTTATTCCATGTTTTCATATTCTATCTAATAGCTCTTGCTCCATAAGCAATATTTCCAAGGGATGATTTACTGATTACTGATTTGAATCTGTGACTGTTAGAGCCCACATCACACTAGGCTATTATTATGATTATTATTTCTTCTGACTGTACACTCTCAAATTACACCAAAATAATAAGACACACACTCTCTCTCTCTCTCTCTCTCAAAACTTTCTGTAGCTTTTAAAATAACAGGGTTAATTTCCAGTGATTGGAGTATATTGACCATCAGGAAATACACTAAATGATGCAGACCGCAGTTTTCATCACTTTGTAGCCTGGTCCGGTCAGATCTCAGAAGCTAAGCAAGTATGGGCTTCGGCAGTAGTAGGACAGAAAGCTGTTGCTGCTGTAAGTGGTGTTTGTGACAATCTTTAATATCTTACAGGTTTTTCCAAACCAAAGTGAATAAGAACACTGTACTACAGGAGGAACCCTTCTTTGGAAGAGATGTTACTCCAAAGTACTGATGACTCTGTCATTACAGATCCCACAACAGTGTTTTTAACCCTGGAAGCGCAGCTATTCTTAAAAGATTCCTAAAAGATTTTGGGTATTCAAAAACAAAATAAAAAACATGAATCCTATTCAAACACATCTTCCAAACTTCACATGTATGCATTCACTTAATAAATGTAATCTA